ACACCAAGATATTGACATTGGGAGGGGGAAAGACGATACTGTAATGATAAAGCGACGCGTCCTTAGTCTGACTATATATGACTGAACGATACCGTGGTTGATGTCCGACTTCCTGTCTTGATGACATTGAGTGAGTCTCATACGATAAATTACCCGCCATTCCGAAAGAATGTTCACGGATAGGCCGCAGGAAAGAGTTCAAGTGAACTTCATATTCCATCTCTATTTCCTCATTCTCTCTTTCTTCCTCTCCCTCCCTCTCTTTCTCCTATCTCCCGGCCCTCTCCTGTCACTATGTTTTTTCTCACAGCCCCTTGTCTCTCTCTCTCCCTCTCTCTCTCTTTCTCTATTTATATTTCTCTCTACTAATAATCCCTCTCATTCTCTCTCTCTCTCTCTCTCTTCCTCTTTCCCTCTCTCTCTCTCTTTCTCTCACTTTCTATCTATCTATCTCCAGAATTCCACTTCTAAAGTTTAAAAAAAAAAAAATATTTAATACCAATCACAGGTTAGCTCAAAACCTAATGTAGGATTTTCTTGGAAACGAAAGCGTTTCACTATATAGGTTTTTGCCTGGATAATGTTCATACACAAACATGACTTATTCAGCATTACGAAGATACAATTTATTCTCGACCTCCTCTTACCTTATATCCACTGTAGATATTTGAATGGATGTATAATGTCTTGACATTAGATCTAAGGTTTAATTGGATTATAGAGGAAGGACTAAATTCCATATATAGGGTATTGGAAAGTGACCTTTGTGTTTTTGTTTGTTTCCTTTTCAAATTATCCGACATGCCGGTTCTGTTTCCCGCTGTCTATAATTGAGAAAGAAAGACATGCACAGATAATTTGATTATACGAGCGCATTCATAATAAACCCATTTGTTAAATATAAAGCGTTCTGGTTGGGACTGAATAATTAAATTGCGATCCAAATTCGTCTATTAATACAATTACAATTATGAGAGTTGCTTAAATGTTTCATTTGGATTTGTAAAAGGTTTGTCATTTAAGATGTCACAATGTGATAAGTGTTGAAGACTTTGCAATGGATAGTGAAATCAAGAACAATAAAGTGGTGAAGTGTGACGTCATCAAAAATCTATTTTTTAGAATTTCTCAATTTTTTCTTTATTTTCCGAAAGAGTATAAAAAATAATGTCCAAATGTCGAAAACCAATTGAATATGATACGATCTATTTTCACGTATTCATGTTCACTGTATTGAAGAAATTGAATATGAAGTACAAATGCATAATTATCATAAATCATTTACAAGAACTCATATGCCGCACGGCCCAGTAAGAAGCATGCGACAAAAGCCGTGAACCATTTGATTAGGTATAGGTAAAGCGATTTAAGCCTCTTCGTGATAAGAAGAGATGGAAACTCCAACTCTACAAGAACATTTCCGACCCCATTTTCCTAACGGATGCCAAAGGTCCCTGGGCTGTCAAGCTCATTGGCATCCGAGGCATCGATGTCGTTTGGCGGGAATTTTAATTTAAGACCAGACGTCGGAGAATATTGCAACTTTATACATGAGATGATCGAATGGATTGGTGATGAGGTACAGACAGCCGCCGATAAGATCTTCCAGAGGACAGCTTCGGCTTTGGGGAAACTGAAACTGATACTCCGTCTGTTCAGGGCCAGAACGGCATCCAGTCTGTGATTACGTATATGGGTTAACGCCCTTCCGGCTCAAAAGAGACTCTTTCAAAGATTGCATCAATGAGACATCTATTATAAGACACAAAGTGCAAACGGTAAGCCACAAGGTCTTCGTCAGTGCGTTCTGAAACCCAATCGGTAAACGGTATTGCGATCAGTGTCTTTTCCATGTTATCCTATTGTTTCTATGTCCTTTGCAGCAAACTTAAGAGAATGATATACGTTTGGCTTGACTAAGCTATACAAATTTTCTGGCGTCAACCACTGGCTTGCAAGGATAAGAATTTAGCATGAATACTGGTCTTGACTATTCGATTTTAGACTTCATATCAGCCTCATAATTATGATCTATTTCGTCGTGATCATGCTTGATACCGATTAACGATTTCTGATATCATTCCAAGTATCAGCAGGCAAAGTTGATATCAAATAAAGGCCCATTTTCTTTATGACTATAGAGATGCGTGAATACTCATAAAGACCGTGAAGATTTTGATATTATTAATTTGAATCGACTACAGTGAAATAGTACTCTCATTAAAGGCATCGTTTACCAATGTAAAATCTGAGATGCATGGCCATGCGTGTTATCAGTTTCTGTGATATGGTGTAATAATGAAGCCGCTAAACAAAATTGCGCTTCAAAATGATCATGAAGTGCCTCAAAAAAGTAAAGATCTTTAGGTGACCGGTTTTACCATACTCATGTTCCCCAATAGACTGTAGTGTTATACAAACCGTTAGGAAAACGGAAAATTTGATTTCAATTTCCAATCATAAATATCTTGATAATCAGACAGGCGATCGGCTTGTAAAAGTCATGGGTTCCTGACTGACCTAAAGGTTTATAATTATCAATTCAGCATGAGCTAAATCCAGGATTTTGTTTCAGAATCTGACACAATGTTACCGAGTCACTTTAACGTAGAAGTCCTTGAAAAAGAAAAAATATCACTGCAGTTGATTCAAATTAATAATATCAAAATTATCACGGTCTTTATGAGTATTCACGTATCTCTAGTCATAATCGTGTATCACCATGTCCAGTAAGTAACTTGTCTTTGATAATATACTCCTTTTGCAAAATCAAAAATTTCAGTGATCAAGAGTGGTGTGGGTGATTATGAATAAAATGCATGATCGAACAACGTAGCAGAATACGACATGTACATGTGTGTCTGTTTACTTTTTCCTTCAATACTACAGTTTTTTTATAAGATTATAGTTTTAACATACAATCATTTTTTTTACATCATTATTCCCGTTTTTCTCTAGTGCAATAGTCCTACTACTTAGATAAAATTGAACGCCTCCACCTCCCCCACTGCTGCGAGTCGACGTGCTTATCATACATGAATATCAAACGTACAGATTTCAGATACGAGCTAAATACTAATAGATTTGATGTAGAAATAATGGCATAAATATCAAGCTGCGCATATGGAATGTCCATTTACACGGCCTCTTAAGGGAGATGTAGGGCAAAGTGTTTGAAGAGTACTTTAATGATGCATATATACGCTTAATATTTTGTTTGCTTGTCTGGAAATATCATCTTTAGACACGGTTAGAGAATATGTTTTCATTCCATTTAACAAATGACGTCAGACGCACGCATTGTTTGTTAAGATATTGAAGACAAAAAAGCAATTGTAGTTGTGGAAAAACAACGATACGAAATCACAAACAAAAACCACAATTCAATTAGGTGTAAACACTTAGTCGCTAAAAGCATACTCTTGAAATATCAACTTAGTCATTCTTAACCACGTGTATTGCTCGCACAGTCAGAATAATTGATGACGTATTACAATAGATATGTTCACATTTTCCTTAATATGCCGGAACAAATGTGTAACCATTAATAGTAATTGTTACGCACATAGCGCAACGAAGCATGTAGGTAGCATGTTTCGGCTGCATGACGTTTTATAATGACGTCTGGCTATGCGTTTCATGTTCAAGCCTGGGAAATGTTTTGAAAAGAAAATTTTAAAAAAAGAGGAAAGAAATCGGGAAGTTTTGTAAATAAGAACTCTTTTTACGTCTGAAATTGATAGAAACAACCTCTTCGTCTTTCTCTTCCACTTTCTCCTCAAAATTAAACGTACATCAGAAGAATACACATTGGTTGCTACAGTCTGCATAAATAGTAGACACATCAAGTAGGATTTCTACATTTAAATCGAGGATATACATACAAGAATCATCCATAAATAAAGTGACTATAACGGTTTACGATAACTCTCGTTATTTTGCGAAGAAGAATACTTGATTCAGTCAATGAACCCTCGTTATCTTATGCTAACTAATTAAAGGTTATTGTACCACCAGAGAAGCATCGTCCCTGTCATGCATTCATCCTACATGGTTAATTGGAACAGCCTTAACTTGCGGAGCAGTTACAAATAATCCACCCCGGAAATTTTAAATCTTCAAGTCCCATTCTGACTGCATGATTTTTTCATTAACTGTGAAGCTTGTCTGGATGCTCGGGTTAAGCTCAATCAAGATGTCTATAGACGTCAATGAAAGCCCGATCGTAGAGGAGTAATTTCGGATGTATTGCGATCTTCATCTTAGGGTAGACGGAAGTCTTTTTTCTTTCTTTTTTTTTGGTTAAGGCAGAAGGGTACTGCACTCTTTTGACCTGACGTAACAATTGAAATAAAGATGTTTCGAAAGAGTCATTTAAAGTATCGTTTTGGTCAACTTTCATCAGGAAACGTAAAAGATACATTGTTAGCAATCTCTAAATAATAGTTTCAGAATAGTCATTTAAAGTAAGACCATCATTTTTTTCTATTGGGAGATTCCATTGTAATCGTTTAAAAATACAGGATTTGATGATATCATAATCACTACAAATTAACGTAATTCAGATAAAGAGATGAATACGAGCATTCACTCCTTCTTAATCTTAATAATGTGTATACACTACTTACGCACTATATACATGTACGCATACATTTTCACACAATTTACGTTGCCTCATAAGGACGGAGGCAGTGATCCATAATTTAAAAAATTGGAGGGGGTGCAAATAAAATTATCAGAAGCATTTGCTTCTCGGTTAATTGTACAAGGCCTGTTTGCCTTAACACCCCTCTCCACCTCATTGATTCTCTGAACGATGCGCAGTATATTTCGCACCACATCTGTTTTTTCTAACATTACATTCATCTGGGAAATGTTCATTTCGATGCATCCTTACTTCGAAATCATCCAAGTCCGGATGATATGGCTGGGGCACACAATCACCCTAATCAACCTTCTCAAGTGATCGACGCTCTTGTAAGAAAATCAAATATCATTACCTTTTCATCATCCGCAGAGAATGTTGCCCCTGTAACCTTGTTGATGACCAGCGCCACACCGATGACGTCATCCTCACTGTTTCTGATTGGCAGACACAGAAGGGATTCCGCCCTGGACCCGAGATTGGGTTGTACGTCATTCAAACATGGCGGTTCCTGGAAACAGACAGGGATGACAAAATGCAAATATTAATTTATTTGTCAACTGACAACATGGTAGGTTTTCATGTAGCTGTGTGGATCCAGCAAAATGTGGTTCGAAAATTACATTTCCCAACACAGTAATTGCTTATTTTGGGTTATATTTGTTAGTTGATGATTACATGAATATTCAGTTTCGACATCTCGACTTTGACAGGGATGACAAGATACAAATATTAAATTTTTCTTCCAACTGACGACATGGTCATTTTTCATGTAGCTGTGTGGATCCAGCAGAATGTGGTTAGAAAGTTACCCAACACAGTAATTGCTAATTTTGTGATATATGTTGTAGCCGATGATTACATGACAATTCGGTTTTGACATCTCGACATTTGATTAATAAGCGATGCCTGAATCATTTTTAATCAACCACAACACCAAGATGGAGCCGTATACGACACTTGTCTGTACCAATCACTTATTCTTGACCTTTAACAACAACACGGAAGTGATAGACCACAGTGGTTGTATTTAATACCACCCTCTTATTACCCCTCCATATACGTACACACCCTTACCCCTCACTCACACCAACCATCATTCACAAACACACACTCCCTCTTCCATCCTTCATATCTTTATGAATCTGCGAGACAAAATAGGGTTTGAGAAATTGAAAGAGTGGTACGCGACGATATTGACAAAAAATCAAAGCGAAGCCATTGCATGCAGAGATTTTGTCACGTAGTATTATAATCTGCGGAAAACATCAGCGTCACATAACCTAAAGGAGAGATGAAAGCAATAAGGGCATTTCGAAGAAAATGTCTACCGTCATGAGGACTCACACTAATGTTGTTTATTTGCTGAAGATCTAGGAAATGCACAACCGCATTTCAACATCATAGCCTACAATCTTCAGCATGAAGGGTTCTATGGTTTGTAAAGATGTGCATCCGATTCACAGTAATTTTGAAATGAAGAAATTCGAGATACATCATCTGTCTTTCTTTTACCCCATGTTGAAATAACTTTACCCTCCAGACTTCCCCCTGACCACTACGCCAAGCTATCACTAAGACAATTATCAATTGAAACACCGGTCAATTCACCTAGGACAATCATCATCATGAAAATTGCCCCTCTGGGATGGCGAAGGTTATCTCAAATGAGCTTATAATATATCGCTCTTCGGGGTTAATATCTATTCGAGTATATATCTTGGTGGTAATTGTCCAATATAGGAGGGCATCAGACTATTCGGTTATAATGTCCTGAGGTAAAGATTGTAGTTGTCCTGGAGATAATCGATTGGGGAAGCGGACGGGGTGAACGTTAAATATCTGTGTAAGGAGATAGAGGGTCGGTTCGAGGTCATTGTCCTAAGACTCACCTCTCCACTTGACTTGGAGACGATATATTAAATATTCACCGTCTCACATCTTATTACAAGATCAACATGTAGGAATCATTGTATAGTATGGTCATTCAGTCATTATGACACTCCGTAAAAGTGCACTGACATGTAAGCTGAATAATATGAAAAGATTTGCTCATTGAGGCCTAAAATACATTTTCTCTCCATCCAGATGTCATATAGGCTTAAAGAATTTGAAAAGAGATTAAATTGATGGAGGAATGTGTTTACAGAATTGAGCCTTGCGTCAATCCGAATCCCTGAAGTAATTACCAATCTCAAAATGTCTTTACACACCTTCATTTTTATATCTTCTTTGAAAGCTTGAATTAACATGAACAGAAGCAAAATGTAGCGAAAGAGCTCCATTAAAACATGGAAACACAAACATCACACGACGCCCAGGGGGGGAACTTTATATTCAACGTTTCTAGATAAAAAAAACCTGGACAATCATACTTATACAGAAGAATGACACCCTGTTTAGTTATTGATATTCCCATGACGAATAGTAAATACAATAGCAACCTCGCCTACAGCATGTATCAGTACACCATGCGTTAAGAATTGTATACATTTTGTTCAATTCTAGAATCAGTCGAGAGGTTTATACTGACGTCAAACAACTCATATCGCACTTGATAATAAGAACAAAACTTTATAAGTACTCAGGATTAGCTTATGTGCTTGAATTAAATTGTATGTCAGAATACTTTTGAATTCTACTTTAAATTACATGGTCTTCTAAATAGTCTAGATTTTGCTACTTTGTCCCTAGGTAATGAAGTATTACTTTACAATTGCTTTGGAAGTAATACATGCAGATATACATGTTAACATAAATAATATTACGTGACAGAAATGTATTTATATTATCATCTAATCATGCTGGATCGCTTTTCTCCATTTTGTTCGAGGGGGATGGTTGAGTCCTGACGACAATTATTCATAATTCATTTTCCTTATTTTTCCATTCTATTTGTTTGGTACAATACATTGAAAAGGCATTTGCAAAACACAATTCTGAAAACAATAAAGGCATCACGATTACATGTACGAGCGCAGATGGATGTCGTATAAAAATATAAAATATAACAAAATTATCACGTTCGGTACTTGGAATGAGGGAAGAAATAGGATGGAAGCTTTCACATGATGTATTGCAAAACGTTTGGTGAGGGAATCAGCACCATAAATCTCTTTCATAATGTGGTGTACAGTCAATGTAAGTTAGTGATCTCCGTTCTATGAAAGCGCAATCATCATCACTCTAAAAACAAAAGCCGTCTTCTTTATTAGAGTATCCATCAATATTTTGGGATGAATAAGTGGCCTAGTGCACGCTGAAGGCGGATCTCGTTATTACCTTGTCATATTATGTTGGCATTTGGTTAGATTTTTTTGTACAACGTTCGACTGAGAATGGAGAATTTGTAAATATATTTGTGTTCAAAGAGAGAAATAGCATTTTGAAAAAGGGTCCATAACTTAATCAGATAAACATGAGTTTATGTAAAAAATACATGGAAACATACATATTCAATGATTTTGCGTGTTAATAAATTGTGTGGTCTATCATTTTGACGATCATGAGTTTAAATGAACAATATCTTTCAATTTTCTCTATCTTCAATCTGTAATCATTATAATTGCATGTGTGCGTGGGATGCTTGTGTGTGAGTGTGTGCGCGTGGGGGTCATTTCACTGCGTTGGGTCGGTCATGAACAAGCAACAACAAAAAGAGCACTGTCATTGACCAATTTTTCGCGATTAGGACAATAATTACGGATATATTCAGATATATATCTCAATAGAAGGATTATTCTATGCAAACAAATACGAACAAGAATACATGTAGATCAATAATGCGACGATTACAGGGGACTGTATATTTAGTCGACATACGGTTTCAACGATCGATTATGTCAAACCTTTCTTTATCATGATAGTAATCTCAGTCGGATGTAAGGGGCCTCCCGGGAAACGAAGCATGTCAGAATGCCGTACGTGTGTACCAATCAAACCGTTTTCTTCTGTGAAAGATATTTGTATTTCCGCAATTCCTTATCGACCAACAAAACGAAGGGAGCAAATAATAATGATTGGATTGGAAATAACGAGGGTGACATAGTTCTTTTTAAAGGAGGTGAATTAAGCCTGATAAAGGACTTACCATGGAATGGAAGGTATCAGTAAACTACGCTGTTTCTGACATAATTTCCAATCAAAGGGTTTTGATATCTTTGACTTTTCCTTTGTTTTTCTTCACTGTGTCATAATTCTACTCTTATCCATACCAATACTGCGATTCTAGGAAGGTCCAGATGGCCCTTCATATATTTTATTTCTGAAAGTATACATTTCGTATTCCTTAAACAATTTATCTTGATACTATGATAATCCCTTGGGGGAAAGGTGGACCAGCTGTCCGGAAAACACTATCAACACTGTAACAAACCAAATTTTGAAAATGAACAAGGTTTACTTTTGAAAGAAAGAAAATCCTTTTGCCATTTAGGCCTGCCAATAGCGAACCTAAATTTGAAAAATTTCATTCACGGAACACCTTTGTCATATTTGTGTGCGGATGTGTGCGTATATAATTGTGGGTGTGTTATCGTTTGTGCGCGTGTTAAATTTTTTTCAGGGTAAATTAATCGGATACGACCATTTTCATCTCATAAAACATTGAAATGAGGATCGAATCCTGAGACATTAACCGGCAGACAAAAGAAGTGACCACTACCCAACTTACAGATCTGCCCATGGTAGGAAGTTTATAGATTGATTTCTTCCTTTTGGTAAGTCCTTCTTTTTTTAACCCTCTCTCTTTCTCTTACCCACTTTAAGTCTAGGAAAAGACGACTCCTTCATTTGGTAGCCTGGCGCTTTACGTTTCAACAGGTGTCGGACACACTATCCCGATACTCGCATTACTCGGCAGGGTGTGCTATCTTGTCCTGATATGAAGCCCTTCCCGCCTCTTTCCTTCGCTCCTACGTACGCGTAGGCGTTTGCGGGTGGCGTGTGTGTATGTGTGGGTGGATATTATGCGCGCGGGGTACATACTATATGCATTAGACATTGTAGAGTGGGCCATAGGGGTGAAATGCCATTTTATGCCGTCATCTGTGTTTGTGTGGATCGTGTGTGTAGGAAGAGCAGGGCGTTCACATTTCGTGTGGTTCTGTAGGTTCTGTAGGTCATTCTCAGCATGTTTTCTTTTTAATTAAGGTTTTCTTTGAACAACTGTCCACTTACCCATGACTGATTAACCAATATGTCTAAAAAAAAAAAGAGGCTTCTATTCCTTTCCCATCACTGACTGTCCAGTAAAAATATAAAGAATCATCGACAGTAGAGTATTTCAATGACCCTTATTTCAAATGAATGAATATGCCAATTTGACAAGAGGTCTCTCTCACTTCATTCATTACAATGACTCTATTTCATTTCAGTTTATGCTTTATCTGGTGAACCTTTTTTTTTTAAAAACCAATAATGGTTTGTTGAAAGTTGAAAAGCCGAACCTGTAATTTATTCTCTCCTAAATGGAAACTGGAAACTATTCTTACTGCTTTAAAAAAAAAATTG